TGGGTCCTTGCTCACGGGAACCGAGCGCTACCAAACCATTGGACGTGGCTCTTTCAGAGCACACGGAGGCAGGAGCCCCGTCGGGCCCCCGAGGGCCCTCCTGGACACTGACCGGCTGTGTTTCAAGGCTAGAAGGCAGCACCAGTCTGCTCAGCTGTGGCATTAACTCAGCGACCTGAGCGAATTCCCAACAGGCTTCCCAACGCCGCTGCAGAGGCGAAGCTTGCTGCGCAGGCGCTCGGGACTGCGGCACCCACGCTCGCCCGGGGCCCGGAGCCGAGACAGGCGCTGCCGGGAAGAAGGGGCAGAGCTCCCCAGAGGCGGGAAGAGCCCCGCACACGCTGCCCTCATGGCCCCCATAAAGCCACAGAGGAGGCTGCAGTCCCCCACTCAGGACCAGCGACGGTCAACGCCCGTCCGGCCACGCGCCCAGCAGGCGATGGGGCCTGATGTGGCCCTGGGCCTCCCGGCTTCCCCGGCTGAGCCAGGGCAGCACCAGAACCTGCTGCGGGGGCCGGAAACAGGGGCCGACAGGTTGCTGCTCCGGAGTCTGCCAGTGTCCGGGTCTTTAAGAAACACTATCTCAAAATCGATTAACTTCTTCCTAAAGTACGAAATAAATGAGTAAACTTTGCAATTATCTCTAAAAGCACATCTTTGTACAGGTAATTTATTATTTGCCTTGCTGTTGAGTTAATACCCAGTTTAGTAATCAGTTTCGGGAACTTCCTTGTCCTTTGATTCAGAGGGTGACACCGTTAAGTGTCCACCGTATCACAGGAGGGCGCCTGTCGCTTGGCCACCAGGACACAGACGTCGGCCACTGCCTTCCCGCGGCAGCCCTTCCTGTGCCGGCACAGCCCTGGACAGCACAGTCATGTTCCCTCAGGTCCGGAACCCGCCCCTGCCTTCTCGGGAGGGGCTCGAGGGCTCTGCGAAGTGCCAACAGATTATGTAAAACCGTATTTATGAAGATTAACACCGGCAGGACTGTAAAACTTTATGTGGAGAATTATAAACATGTGCCTGCCGTCTGATACCGATGTTTTCTGTCATTCTGGTTACAGTGTCTGTGTTTGAACTATTAGCTCGAGAGCAATCCCATGGGGCCCCTGTGAAGAACGTGTCACTTGGTCTTTGACCGGCTTCACCCATGATCGTCCTGAGGGGTCCTGTGTTGGCATCGGTGGCCCTCCGCCTGTGTGGCGCCCACACAGCCTGGGGGCTTGCGGGGGTGCAGGGTCGGCCCCTCTCAGAGCCCTGCTCGCCCCAGACAGGCCCACGCTTTCCCCGCCCCTCCCTCCCGCCCGAGCTCCCCACGCTCTGCAACGCCCGCCTTATCTGCCCTGGGAGCTCTGACTCAGCCGCCCCTTGGACCGGGAAAAGGCTGTTCACTCGGTTTCTTGTTTTCTGAAGCTCAAAGCTGCCTTAGAGTGATTACAAGAAAGAGAATGTAAAACTAGTGAGAGTTCAGAGAAAGGTGACAAGTGATGGCTGAATCATAAGAGAAACGTTTAAAGGAAGCTTCTGCATGAAACACTTTCTCATTATTATTGAAATGGGTTTTTAAAGAGATACTGATCTGTATTTCCAAAGTTTATGAAAATCAGTGAGAGGAAGTAGGCTTCCGGTAGAAGAGGCAGTGTAGTCGGCCGGGGGGCAGAATGCTGATCTTTCAATGGCTCACGTGGGTTTCGATCTTGTCTCAGTCTGTGGTGAGGGGATGTGTTGGAAAATAGAGGCCCAGGGAAATCATATGAATTTAACAAATACACTGTCTTTCCCACTGTTGTCGGTATGGAAAGGTATTCGCACCGAGTTTCCGTGTTCTCCGTGAGCGAGGCCTGTGGGCCAGAGGCCTGCAGACGGTGACACCTTGTCACACACTCGCTCAGCACGAGTCGGCTCTGCAGGCAGTTTGAGAAGTTACGCAGCAAACAAATTAAATGGATTTCTTCAGCGTCGAAATTCTCAGACGCTTTAAAATGCCATTTTGCAATCTCAGTCTCAGAAAGGACAATTTAAGAGGCAATTTCACAGACTTCCATGAGGAGGGACCAGCAACCCCTACAAACGTCTCCTATCCCTGCTCAGTAGACCACTTGGGGGGACTCTCCTTTCCTGGAGCCAGAGGTTAAATAAAGGACGCCTTTTAAGCACGACTTTAATTTGGGGCCCAGGACGGTCTTATTTGCATGGGCCCCATCACTCCGTGCTGTGACCGCAGTGTTTGGAACCGCTCTGTCGGCATTTCGTCCCTCGGCCGGCCTGGCCCCCAGGACCCTCTCGCTAAGGCCGGGCCACACCCCTGTCTCTCCCCGACCTCCCAGAGCCCCCTTCTGCTGAGCGTGGGTGGCAGGCAGGGCCCAGGTATCCTGCGGGTTTCTGAGAGGGCCTCATGGAAACTGGTAGAAGGACATGTGTGCACATCAAAGATTGGAACTTAATAATGTGAAAGTTAAACTTTATAATTTGCTTTCATGTTAGATTAAGGGTATTCCATTATTCTTATTTGAAAACAGATTCAAGTTTTGTAAACAAATATGACAATGTTATTAAACCTTTGATTATGGAGTGAAACTGAAACATAAAAACATGTTGTTATAATAAAAATCTGAGTGATGAATTTTAATGTTTGTTTTAAAGAAGTAGCTGAAAATCAGAGATGTCATAATTGATCAAGAAAATACCAACACAGATCTACTAAATGGAGATGCCTTGCTAGTTGTCAGGGATTCAAATATGGAAAAATGAAGGTTCTCATCTTGACGGACCTACATAGTGGATTGGGAAATATGTTGCAAACATTTTCAAAAGACTTTATTTATTTATTTTGAGGGGGGGGAGGGAGGGAGAAGGTGAGGGAGAGAACAGCGCTCGGTTGCGCTCACAGGCCCCGCTCGCTTCCCGCACGGCCCCAGCCGGGGCCTGGCCCGCAGCCCAGGCAGGCGCCCTGACCAGCGGGGTCGGCTGCAGGGTGCTGCCCAGCCCACTGAGCCACCCCAGCCGGGGCTGCCAACGCTCCGGCGGTTCTAGGGAAACACGCAAGGCCCCGTTGTTTCGTCGCCTGTTCTAAGCTGTGGAAATGAGAATTTTACAAGTGAGGATACAAAGGCCCCGTGTGCGAGGTGTGTTCCGTGTGCAAAGGAGCCCGCCTTGTACATGGCAGACCCAGGCTCAGACACAGCCCAGGGACCGAAGCTCAGCGGCCCCCTCTGTCAAAATGGTGGCAATTGCTCGCGAAGAAGAGCAAGTCAGAAAAGGAGACGCTCTGGGTGAGCAGTCAGAAGAGCTCTGTCCCCTCGGACGAACCGGAGGCCGGCTGGGCGAGCGGAGGCGAGGCTGGGCTCAGGCCCCACCCGGCCCTCCTCCGGGAGCCTCCTGGGGGGGAGCTGGTCTGTCCGACTCCAACGCAGGAGGGTGTTTCCGCTCTCTCTGTCCCCCGAACCCCCACCAACTCTCCTAGCACGGCATGGACAGCGGTGGGCAAACGTAGGTCTGCAGTTGTGAGCATGTATGACGCAGCTTATTCTTGTGTTACTAATTACTGTGTTATTAATATTTTCCGTACACAACTGTAAACCTACCTTTGCCCGCCCCCGTATGCGCACGTCCTTTGCTGCTTGCCCAAAGGAGCTGGGACCCTCCGCTAGTCTGGTTCTCAGGGGACCTGGCTCCCTGACTGTGGGATTTGGCCTCGCAGGGACTAAGGCCTAGAAGCTGATCCGGCACAAGCCTGCCGCTGTTCGACCGCTGGTAGCTGGGGGGGCTGGCACAGCGGGCCACCCCTGTGGCACCTGCCGCATCGCCCGCAGCCCTCGGGGGCCCACAGGCCCTGCCACGCTTTTCTAGAAAAGGTGGGCTCCGGACCAGGGCCCCCACCAGTCCCCGGCCCTGGCGGGGGAGTGGTCAACTGCACTGGGAGGTGTCTGCGTGTCCTGGGGTTGACCTTCGAACAGCAGACACGGCGGACAGTGCATTCGGACAGATATTTTTAGCTCTATGTGCAGCTTTTGGAAATAACGCAACTTTGGAAATGCTTTCTCTTACACTTTCACATTCCTGGGCTGGCCAGTGCCTTGTGCCCCCCGTGGTCTCCTCGTTGCCTTGGTTACAGCAAAACAGCCGTTTTTCTAGGCATTTGGTCAGGCTACACCCAGATCCGAAGAGCTTCGCCCTCGCCTGCCCTCGGAGTCCTGCAGGCGGTACTCGGGCCGGGACGTGGGCTTCGGGCTCATTCTACCCCCGCCTGGGCTCTCCCCACCACCCGCGCTGTGTCCTTGATGTCCGTGTCCTTTCTGATGGTAGAGATCTGTGCTCAGGTAGAGACAGAAAACTAGTTTCCAAACGCGCCTAGGTCACTTTAACAATTCAAAGGACAGGAGACACCTGCCTGGGGGTGGGATAGGGCGCCCTTTCCTTCCGCCCTCCCCCGCTCCGGAAGTGCCGGCCTCCGGCGGTGACCCACGGCGCTCCCCGGGCAAGGAGGTGGCCGCTGACACCTGGGGCTGAACGGACTCCGTTGCTTCCTGGTCCTCGGGAGCAGAGGGGACGCGGGAAGGCGACAGCATCCCCCTCCCAGCGCCAGGAGCACAGCGGCGGCGAGGGGCGGGGCCAGGTGATGGGGCGGGGCCTGTGGAAGGTGAGGGGCGGACCTAAGGGTGAGGGGCGGGGCCAGCAGTCTGAGTGAAGGTGAGGGGCGGGGCTAGGGGTGAGGGGGCGGGACGGGCGGGGGCGGGGCCGGCGGGCGGTGGGGGCGGGGCTGAACCTCTCCCGGCGGCGCGGAGGCGGCGAGCACCTGCGGGGAGGAGCCGCGTCTGGGTCCTGGATTGACTACCCGGTCGGTGCGGACCGGTGTTCCCTTGCGTCCGTTCCTGGTCCGGCGGACTCAGGGAGCTGGTCCCCACCCTGCGCGGACTTCGGAACTGATCCTGGACAGCCGGGCGCCGCGGTCGGCGCTTTTCTGCGGGGCCGGAGCCCCAGCGGCTCTGCCAACGAGGATGCACGCGCTGCCCGGCCTGGACGCGCCCCCGGTGGAGCGGCTTCTGTCCCGGGGATCGGACGCGGCGGGGCCGGTGCGCGGGAGCGCCGTGGAGAGGCTGGCAGCTGACCGCGCCAAGTACGTGCGGGGCCTGCCGGGGGCAGCCAGGGATCCCGCCTCAGAGGGCAGCAGCCCTGGGACGGGCGAAGGGCAGGCGGTCGGCCTTCGGCCCCCGGCTCGCGCTCCTGGCGCCGTGGCGCGCAGGGCAATAGCGCGGAAGCCGCTGAGGCCGGACTCGTTGGTCATCTACCGGCAGAAGTGCGAGTTCGTGCGTGGGCAGGGCACCGACAGCTTCGGGGGCGGTCTGGTGAAGAAGCTCTTCCCGGGGCCGGGCAAGGACAAGACGTCGGCGTCCCTCGAGAAGTCCCCGGCAGGAGGGGAGGGCATGGTCAGGGGAGAGGAGGTAGCGCCAACCAAGCCCAGCCCCGCAGCGGCCCACGGTTCCCCCGCGCGTCCCAGCGGCCCGGCAGCGACCCCGGGAGCCGCATCACACCCCAGCGGCCCGGCAGCGACCCCGGCGCCCCCAACGCGCCCCAGCGGCCCGGCAGCGACCCCGGCGCCCCCAGCGCGCCCCAGCGGCCCGGCAGCGACCCCGGCGCCCCCAACGCGCCCCAGCGGCCCGGCAGCGACCCCGGCGCCCCCAGCGCGCCCCAGCGGCCCGGCAGCGACCCCGGGACCCGCATCGCACCCCAGCGGCCCGGCAGCGACCCCGGCGCCCCCAGCGCGCCCCAGCGGCCCGGCAGCGACCCCGGGACCCGCATCGCACCCCAGCGGCCCGGCAGCGACCCCGGCGCCCCCAGCGCGCCCCAGCGGCCCGGCAGCGACCCCGGGACCCGCATCGCACCCCAGCGGCCCGGCAGCGACCCCGGGACCCGCATCGCACCCCAGCGGCCCGGCAGCGACCCCGGGACCCGCATCGCGCCCCAGCGGCCCGGCAGCGACCCCGGGACCCGCATCGCGCCCCAGCGGCCCGGCTGCGCCCGGGAGCCCCGAGCCTCGAGTGACCAGGCGCAGGGGGCTGCAGCGCTCGCAGTCAGACCTCACCTCCCGCTACTCCATGTCCGCGGCTGAATTCGACGCCTTCTTCCAGTTCTGTGGCCTGGATCCCGAGGTGGTGGAGGCGCTCGGGAGAGAGAACTTCTCCCCGGGGTCGGACCGTCTCGCCCTGAAGGTCCGCAGCGTGAGCATGGCCACCTCCGACAGCGGGTTCTCCCGGCAGAGCGGCGACGACGAGGGGCTGCAGGAGGAGGAGCTGATGGATCAGGTGCCTGGCACCACCTCGGTCGTCGAGAGGAACGCGCGCATCATCAAGTGGCTCTATACCTGCAAGAAGGCCACAGAGCCCCAGGGGCCTCGGCGCCAGGATCCCGCGTGACCGCCTCGCCGGGAGGTGGGACCCAAGGGTGAGCCGGGGTGTCTGGGCGCATGTCCGGGAGGGCTCCGAGCTGGACGGTCAGGACTCGGAGGTGGGAAGGGGCCCTAGAGACTGAGACGCAGAGCGTCGCGCGTGACCGTCCAGGTCCCCGCTGGTCTAGCGCCCTTTCTTTTGAATGTACCACTGACGACTGCCCGGAAACGTTACCTTGGCGCCATCCCATACGGCTTAGTCCTATGAAAAGAGGGGAAGCTGGAATTACGCAAAGCTGTCGGAGAGCAGCCTCACCCCTCCGGTGTTACTGGTTTGGTCAGAGCTGACTGCCGCCCCCCCGCCCCCCGCCTGCCCCCGGCCTCGGAGGCACGGGCGCCGCCGTTTCGCGTCCCCCGCGGAGGAGCGCGCTGCGGGGGGCCTCTCTGCAGCGGCTGCTCGGCCTGACACTCTCTGAGCTGGAGAAAGCCTTCTGCCAAACATGTTTTTAACTGTTTTGAGAGCTTTCTAAGGAGCGTCCCTGGAGCCGCGCAGTTCCCGAGAAGGAGCCTGCGTTCTGGCCGGGCGGGGGCTGGCGGCCCCCAGTGTCTGCCAGTGCGTGGCTCTAGGCAGGACACAGGGACTCCCGGAGCGCAGGCCGACCCGGGGCCTTCACGGGGAGCGAAAGGGCGTTGTTCTTGCCCTGGCCTGCGCCCCTCCCTCCAGGCGCGGGTGGGGTGGGCACTCCTGGACGGGGAAGGGAGACTAGGCCCTACTTTTTCTAGGTTCTCTTAAGAGAACCAAGAATTTAAACCTTGCAGCCTCTTTTCTTCTCTTATCCTTCAGTGACAATGATTTAGATTTTTTTTCTAAAAAAATCAGTCATGGAAGTAATTTTGTCTGCCCTTTAGAATTGCAGACGGTCATGTTGAGGGTGGGGTGGGGGCAAGGGGGGGGCGGTGCCTCTGGACTCCTTTGCCCACAGCTCCCCGGGCGGGGCGGGAGGAGCCTTCCTCAGTGCCGGACAGATGAGCTCCCTGCTTGTCTTGGGCGCAGAAGGATCGTGATGTTCTCCCTTATAATTTATTGAATTTTATTTTCCACTAGCACAAGCCCCAAAGAATGTAAATAGGTTGTCAAAATTTAAAAGCAAAAAAGATTTACTTGTATTTTTCACAGATTGTGTTTTTGAACTGAGATGAGTTTGGAAGGGAGACAGGTCACAGGCACCATGGATATCTTGGCGCGGGCGAGGTGGGAGGCGGAAGTTGCAGGGGCTGGGTTTGGCCCCAGAGGGGCCGGGCCCCGCGCCGGGTGCACAGAACTGGGACTTGGGGGGCCGTGTCCTGTCAGTCACCTGCCTGCACTGACCACGTCCAGTGGCCGTAAAATGAAGGCAGACGCTCCTCAGCTCTGCAGCTGGTGCATCCGTACAGTCAATAGTCGGTGTATCTGTGTTTCCTGATTGGAACCCAGAAAAGGAAAACAAAGCAAAACATAAAACAAAAAAACTCCACTGTCTATTGGAATTCGTAAAATGTAAATTTATAAGTAAGCTTCCTCCGGGTTTCCAGAGCACCCTGGGTTTTATGCACAGACAGCAGTGGAACTCGTGGTAACAAGGTGATGCTCAAATAAACTGAAATAAAGCTTGTCAGTAGAAATAGAAAAATCTTCCCCTCTGATCCCTCTTTACCAGCCCCGGCCTGGGGGGAGGGGCTCCAATATCAAAGCAGTCTGCTCAGGGTCAAGCGAAGGGAAAATGGGGGAAGTTTGTGCGGAACTTTCCTGTGACCTGAAGGAGCGGCGGGGGGGGGGGGGGGGGGGGGGCGGGCAGTGAGTGTGCAGACGCAGGGAAGCGCCCAGGTGGGCATGTGCGGAACACGCTCAGGGGAGCCACCTCACTCTCCCCACCCAGTCCTGTAGGTTGTTTGTTCTAGGGGGCAGTATCCCCTGCCTCCTGAGCCGGTTCAGGCTGTTGCTCAGAAGGGAGGGGACAGACGTCACAAAGGGCCTGCCCACTGGGCTGTGTGCCCCAGCAGCCGCTAGCACTGTAAATATTTGCTTCACAAATTTGCTCTCCCAGATCCGAAACAGGGCTGAGATCCGGGAAACTTCAGCTCAGGAGACCTAGTGTCTGTCTGCTTGGGGAGGAGGAGGTGAGGGTCCCGCGGGGACTGAGGGGGTCTGCTTCCGATCGCAGCCCTTCGGCGACAACCAGCGGGGACCAGCATGTGGCCAGTACCCTTCCCCGTCGTCCCTGGGTCTTTGGCAGCTGCCCTGTCCTCACGGGTCCTGGTCTGGGACTAATCCCACCACTGCCAGAGGCTGAGGAAGGAGGAGTGGCAGCCACGGCTTCCCTCTGGCTTATCAGGACATTTGTGTGGAAATCCATGCAGCTTCACTGTAGGGTTTCATGAAAAATTCAGAAAATCTGAGATGAACAAAGATATGCTTTTCTAAGTGAAAAGGAAAACATGTCTTATCTGGCGGTGTTTGTCCCATTGGTAGATAGAGGTATTATCAATTAAAATGAAAATAGACCACCCAGAACTGAGTAACAGGTCCATAGTTTGTTACTCCCATGGAGAAAAAAATGTTTGCTTTTCACAACCGAGAGTCCCGGCTGGGGAAGAGTTCCGGGGAGCACCGCGAGCCGGGGGGCCGAGAGCACAGGTGCCGATGGGCGATGGCGTGGGGCCGCGTTCCCGGGTCCGTGCCGTGGGGGCCGCTCCTCTTCCTGCCCCTCACGCCGTCCGAGTGGCCGTCCTGCCGGAACGGGGCCTCTGGTTTCTGGCCTCTGCATGGAGTACATGCTCCTGATTTTAATATTGTTATAAGCAAAGGTGACTTGTCCTCTGGGTTTCTTAGGGACAAACATTGTTTAATGTTAAGGCGAGAATCTCAGACTGGCCACCGCTCTCCCCGCACTGCTCTTGACAAAAAAGGAGCCCTGTGGCCCCAGGGCGCTGAGGGGACAGGAGGGGCTGGCTCCTCTCCTGCAGAGGGGCCCTGGGGGGCGGCCGCACACTCCTGCCCCCGCCCCGCCCCTCTCTGACCAGCTGGAGGCAGCAGCCCCTGACTCAGAGGGCGTGTTAGGTGAAGAGCAACTGAGTGGCCGCGAGGCACCGCCCTCTGTCCTCGGGTTGGTCCTGGGCCTTGTGGAGAGATTTGTGGGGTGCGTGTGGCTGCGGATCGGCATTGGGGCTGTCTGTCTGGCTTCCTGCTCTGCTGGCCACCCTGAGGCAGCCTGCATTGGCTTTACCGATCGCAGGGTGTTGCCTTTACTACCCATGAGTAGTTGAGGGGAAACACAAATTAAAGGCAGCCAACTTTTCAAAACTTAAAATCACAAAATATCACAAAACCGAAGGCTGCAGGCAGCAGACTCAGAAGTATAGTGCCAGCCTTACAGCTTTGGTCAGGCCTGGTGCTGATTCACGGCTTTTCCTTGCCTCTCAGGAGTGAGCCTTCCTGGCGGCGGGGCCCCTTGGGGCGTGTCCCGGAGGATCCGAGACCCCAGGACCACGTGTGCAGCACGGGCTTTGTCCAGGGTGCCCCGGTGACCACAGGAACCGCACCGCGGGAGCTGGAGCAACTCCCAAAGGCCTGGGACGCCGTGGAGGAGATGGGGGTCCCTGAGCCGAGGAATCCAGGAGAGGCTGAGGGAGCGCAGCTGCGACCCAGCAGAGCTCCGGCAGGCGCCTCCTCGTCCGGCGGGCACCGCCCTGGCCTCCGCAGGGCGTCAGACGGGGGAGCTGTGTCCAGGGGCGTCTCTTTGGTTGGGGAGGAGGCACCATGATGCACTTTAATGCACCTAGATTGATTTTAGAAAGAACAAAAGACCAAGAGCCTGAGAGCCAAGCGTGCCGCGGTACTTCGTGCTTCCAGTCATCTCAGACCAGTTGGCACCATTGAGTCAAAATTCCGGACCCACGAGAAGGTGTCGTACTGGACACCTCCGCGCACACATGGGCGCTCCTCAGCATCAGGCCGTAAGCCAGGCCCTGGGCGGGGCCCGGGTCTGTTAAAATCGCAGGCAGGCTGTGCGGTCTGCGGCTGACGCCCTCCCTACTGGGTCTTGGGCCGTGCAAATGCTGCGGAAAGACAAGTGAGAATGGAAATACTGCCGAGAAATACTTTCCTTGCACCGGGACAGTTTTTGAGAGGCGGCAGAACCGTCAGTGCCAGCAGCAGCTTCTGGCCTTTCAGTGCCGTTTGGAAGCTCCTCCGAGAAGGAGAGGGAGCCCCCGCCCCACGCACGGTCCCCGCCCGTGGCGGCACCGGGCTCCCTGCGGGCACGTCTGAGGGGAGGCGCCTCCGCCTGGGGAGGGCAGATCCTTGGGGGTGAGGGGTCCTTGTGGCCAGACCGAGCGGCCTGGGCCCCCGCGGAAGTGGCAGCCTTCAGAGGCGGAGCCGGGGGTGTCTGTGGGAGGGGCGGCCCCAGCGAAGCTGCCACCCACCCGTCCTTCCAGCCTCTTCTGTTTTGTTAAAATGCATCTTCTCCAGCACAAAATTATTAGAAGAGTATGGATGAGAGAGAAACACATTTCTCAATGGTAAAATATTTTTAAACCAATTCATTTTGTTATATTTGTGTATATGTTTAATATTGAATTGTTTTTATAACTGTTTTACTGTGAAAGTAGGTCTTTGAGTTATTTGAATATTTATTTTCACAGTTACTAGTCTTCAAGTAGTTTTTATTCACTTCATATAGTTTTCGTTTCACCAGAATAACGGTAGATCACTTTCTGCACTTGGTCTGGGTGGTCTTTTCGTGTTGTTTCCTTGTGTTTCCGCCTCGACTGTGGGCAGAGCCCTCTGAGCTGGGCGAGGGCTTTGCCCCTGGCCCCGGGCTGCACTTGGGGGCTCTGCCGGCTGCGGGCGGCTGAGGGCGGCTGAGGGCGGACCCTGCGAAGGACGTGTTCCCTGCTCTGCGGTCTCGCTCCCAGTTGTTCCCCTGGAAATGCTCCTGTTCACTGGGCTGCACGGAAATGAGAACGGTAACATGAAAGACAGGAGGAACGTTTACAGGGCCTTTTCCGGTACCTAGTTTGTGTGTTCGCAGGTGTTGTGTTACTTTTGTAGGTGAGTGCTTTACGTGAAATTGTTGTCTGTCTTTCTACACTCAGAATAGGAGGGACTGAAACTGAGATCAAATTTATCTTAGATCAAAATGGTGCAGACTCACCATCTATTTAATTGATGAAAAATAATTTTTTAAACATTGGTTTAACCACTAAGATCTTCCGGAAGTATTTGCACTCCCGTGGGGCACAGGAAAGGGAAGAGCCCCGGGCGTGAATTCCGGAACAGACGTCCGACGTGTGCAGGTCGGGGCAGAGTGTGCGCTTCTGGGGGAGAAGTGCTTTCCTAACCCTGATGCACCCCAGTTTACTGAGTGACTTTGAGAAAATCTAATTTTGCAGCTCAGGCTGAATGAAAAAGCTTGTCTTTGCTTTTTTGAAGACTGAACAGTAGTTACTGTGGCAAAACAGTTTCATTTCTTAATGAAAAAATAGCATATAAAGGAATACAATGGAAAGGAAACAATAGTGGAAAAGCAAGGAACACAGCCCAGCAGGGCCCTGGGCCACCAGCGCGGGCACAGGGCCCCCGGGCCCCCGAGGGAGGTCTCTCTGCTGCCCATGCATCTGCGGTGTCCACTGCGGGCCCCGGCACCGGAACGCGAAGGGGCTTCGTGAGACGCTGCCCTGGGTCTGCGGGCCAGCGGGCACTGTGCACGCAGCTGGGCTGGTGATGCTCTAAGATCGGGCCCAGGGTTTCGCTGGAGTTTCTAAACAGAGGTTTTGTGACCTGCTACCTGAAACGGGGGCGCAACATCCTGTGTGTGTGTGTTACGGAATTGGCGTGTTCTATCATTTATTAACATTATTAACTCATGACCTGGAGCAGCATGAAAATAAAGCAAGTGTCGGCCTATTATAATTTCTCCCACCTTTTGTTTCCTTCTGGATGTTACCTCATCAGATCATCTGCAGAAATGGGGAAAGAATCCACATCGATGGGTCACGTGGTGGGGTCCCTGCGTAAGTGATTTTCAACCCCGTGTGTCACAAGAATTTTAAAAACTTGCAATACCTGACTATCCAGCCAGGGGCACAGACCCCTTGCCCTTTAGGCTGCCCAATAAAGAATGACAACAGCCACGACCACAGTAGCGGTCTAGGGTGAAGAATCAAAATTATACCTATTCTTTGTCAGATCGGCCAAGAAACACAGTACATTTTTTGGTGCGCCACAGATTTTTCGTAACTAGTTTGTGTGTCGAGAGATGAAAAAGGTTGAAAATCACTACTTTAAGTCTCCCTGGCGACGGACTGCGGTAAAAACAGTTTTGAACATTTAGGACGTGGTTTTTTTTTCATGGTTTCAGCAGTCTTTTGCTTGAAAATGCTTTTCCTCTGTGTTTTATTGACATCATCACTGTGGAATGGGCGCAGAGGTGTAAGAGCAAGCGTGGTCAGTGACCTTCGCATCCCGTGACTCGGTGGTGGCGTGGACCTCAGTGCCCCTTGGGCTTGGAGCTGGTCGGTCAGGAGCCTGACTGGGCCGACGGAGCTTTTCTGAGACCTGCAGGAGCTCATGCCCAAAGCCATACAAGCGGCCAAAGGCCGGCGTTGCTGAGGAGAGCGGGGGCCTCCCCCCTCATGCCCACGACGGCAGGGGTCCGCCTGGGCACCGCGGAAACGCCTGACTCGCTGTGGCGCCCGCCGGGCGAGCTGCAGGGCCGCTGCAGAGTCTGGAGCTGCTGTCGGCTCTGCCTTCCCGTAAACTGGTCCTTACCTTTCAGCTGCTGGTTTTGAAAATTCAGTGAAACAAGAAGCAATGAAATGATGCGCAGTGGTTTGGCGTTTGAATTTTGCTTGCATATGCAGTACTGAAGTAAGTAGGTCTGCATAGCGTTTCCATGTTCCAGGTTGAAAGTATCAAATAGGAAGAAACAGAGTTTCTCAGCCAGGAGCCTAGCGCCGGCCGCAGAAGCACCAGGGAGCAGCGGATGGGAAAACTAACGGGGGAACACCGGAAGGGTGGCCGCTCCCCGTTTTCATCATCTTCTCGGCTGCCGTGGCTCAGGTCCTGCAGCTGGTTGTCACGTTTGTGTCACCTCCTTGACAGCTGTCATTATCTGTGAACGACTGTTCACCTTTCCTTCGAGAGGGAGTGCGAAGCCACGGGGAGAGTGAGGCTGAGCCCCAGGAGCCGTGGGGGGCGGCGGGGCCGCGGCGGCCGCAGAGCCTGCGGGACGCCCAGCCCCGAGCGTGTGCAGCACAGGGGCCAGGACAGGACACCTCAGGGTCTGCGGACCCCACCCCCGCGACCCACCCCGCGGGACCGCAGCAGCCGTGCCCCTGAGCAGCTGGGCCTTTGACCCAGGATGAGCCACTGGTCACAACGAGAAATCACCCACGTGCGTGCCCTGGGGAGCCGAGGACAGCGCTGGGTGCTGGGAGCCCCCCAGCACCCTGCCGTGACGGGCTCACGCCCTAGGAGGTCAGACATCCAGTGAGGGTGGGGGGTGGGGGGTGGGTCCTAAATAGTTGATAGACCAGCAAATCGATGACAGAGGTGGGGCACCAACCTGTCTGAAACCAAAATGGGGCCCAAATCCAAGACAGAGAGAGAGTCAAGTGAGGAAGGAAAACATGTGAATGATAAATGGCATGTTTTTTCGCTGAGAGGTTTGTTTTATTTTGATCCTTGGAGGCCCTTCGCCCCGGCGTCTTAAAGGTTTGGAGTCCAAACAGTAGAAAGCAGAACACATCACAAATGGGGCCTTAGGACTTGGTCTGCACCTGGTCAGAAGGTTCCTGTGGGGGCTGGGGGTCTTCTCGTGGCCTTTAGAAGTTCACCTGCAAGCACGGCAGAAGGGCACAAAGTCGGCCTAGCAGGTAAGCGGGGACTGGGGGACAGACCTTGGGAGGAGAGCGGCCGGCTTGGGCGGCGGGGCTGGGGCTGGAGGGCCCAGGCTTTCTAGGCTGTGCGGCACGTCCGATGGCAGCACCCAGAGCTCAGGGAGGGGGTGAACCCCACCTGCTCTCCCCCGCAGGCGGCGCCGTGTGGTGCCAGGGAGACCGCGCCCAAGTGGCCAGCTACTGACACGGGCAGGCGCCCTCCGGCCGGGACCGGGGCTGGGTGTTACGTTAGGAATGACGTGGTTCCGCACGAACGCTCTGAAGCGGCCACAGCAATCGTGAGAAAAGGCCAAGCCTCAGCACCCACATTCCCAGATTTAAAACTCCGCGAAAAAGCGACCACAATCCAAACGGAAATGCTGGCGCAAAAACCGACACGTAGGTCAATGAAACAGAACAGGGCCCAGAAACAAGTCCACACCTGTGCGGTCCATTGATCAATGACGAAACAGCAGGAACCTACGATGGGGTAAATACAGTCCCGTCAATAAACAGTGTTGGGAAAACTGGAGTGGATGTATGTTAAAAAACGGATGATTTCCTTACCCTATTTATCAAAATAACCTCAAAATGGGTTCAAGACTTAGAGGTAAGACCCGAAACCCCGAACCCACAGGAGAAGGGAATTCCTTGGTGCTGGTCTCAGCAGCGTCTTGTCGGATGCGTCGCCGCAGGCGGGGGAGACAGGGACGTGAACGAGAGTGACTTTGTTCACAGAGAAGGAAACCGGCCGCGGAAGGACGCACAGCTGCCTGGACGGCAGCAGGGGCTCGCCAGCGACGCACCACCCAGGGCTGAATGTATAAAGAGCTACATATATAACATAGAACGCCCCGAATGTGCAAAGAACTCCCACAGCTCAACATCAGAAAATAAAACCAAACAGTCCAATTAAAAGTAAGCACAGGACCTGAACGGACACGTCTCCAAAGAGGACACACAGACGGCAACAGACGTGAGAGATGCTCAACGTCACTCATCCTCAGAGAAGCGCAAATGACAACCACAATGAGCTGTCACCTCGCACCTGCCAGGACGGCCGTCGTGAGTGCATCAAGAAACAGCATGTGCTGGCGAGGGCGTGGAGAAGGGGGACCTCGTGCGCTGTCGGTGGGAAGGCAGCCTGGGCAGCCGCTGGGGAGAGCAGCCTGGAGGTTCTTCTAAAAGTTAGGAACGGAGGTGCCACGTGACCCCGTGGTTCCACGTCTGGGAATCCGTTCAAAGAAAACGGAAACACTGGCTTGAAGGGATAGGCGCCCTGCGTTCCCTGCACATTACTTACAACACCCAGGGCGTGGAAGCCACCCGTGCGC